AAGACCAAATTTTTAAAAAATTCTTGGTTTTAGTAGAATTTGATTTTTTTTAAATAGAGAATTATGGTTTTTTTAAAATTCTTTAAAAATTCCAAGCGATCTGTATTCTTTGATTTTTCGAATAAATCTTGAAAGGCTATCGAAATCAGAAAATAATGTTTTTATTGTTCTAATTTAATCGGAAAATTAAACGATAGTGGGTGGGGTTACGTTTCCAATACATCAACATGATGGGCTTATCTTCCACCCTTGCAGGTCTTAATATTTTTCCTCATTTTTTTCTAATTTCAAATAAACGACAAATGTGTTGTTTCGTTGTTGAATGAATGAGACTGGATGTTTGTTGTTGTTGTTGCTGTTGTTTGTGTTTTTTTTCCTGCTGAACAACATATTTTTTTATCAGTTACCATAGCAATGAACTTTAATTGGGCCAAAGACCATTTAAAAGTGCATTCTGTAGAGAAATAGCAGCAGCAACAACAACAGCAACGAAAAGCAAGGCGAGAAAACACCCAGCCAATGTTGAAAGCCAACTGCAGTGAAAAAAAGGAAAAACGTTTCATTAAAACAAAATAGTGCTTCCCCTCCCCATCCCCCCATTTTTCAAAACTGTGCGGCAACTGAAGCTTGGGATGATGGTAGGGTAGAGGTGGGGTGGGCCCGAAACACTAGCAACAACAACAATTAGACTGCTGATAAAAAAAGGCATTGTAATAGAGTAGCTGCTATAAATGTGAGGGCCATTGCTGTCGTTGTCTAATGCAAACACACACACAGACACATCAACAGTTACATATGTACATTTCCCGAAAACACACACAGAGACATCATTTTCTAGGGAGGGAGAGAGAGAGGGAAAATAACTTTAATTCTGAAATTAGAAGCAAATAAAACGGAAAAAAATTTTTGTATTGCATTTTACAATGCTGACCTACTGTTAAACGCAGCGAGCGGCCCTACAATAGAGTGCTGGTTCCGAGCAATGTGTAGGGCAAACATTCGGAGCTATATATTTTTGTTATAGATAACAAATGGGTGGATTTATGGCTGTCATAAAAATATGGGTTTAATAAACTTTATAGTTATTAAAAATTAAAATAATAAACACATGCATCGCGTATCGGAGTCAAAGCAGGTTGCTGGCAGAAAAATTAAAAATTTTTTTTGAAGAATTATATCGTGTTTTAAAGCAAATCTTTCAAGGACCATTGACCATTGTGGACTTAAAAACAGTAAAAAAAACTGTTAGTTCGGCCGGGCCGACTTTTGAATACCCTCCACCATTTGGAAAGAATTTGGCAATTTTCAAAAAAAAAAAAAAAATCCCTTAAAAATTCTGTTAAAGTCTTAGAAATACCGAATGTAGCCGTTATATTAGGGTCTATACGACGACGTAGACCTGCAGAGGCAACTTTGTCATAAGCCATTAGAATATTCAAATACGAAAATTGCAAAAAAATAGGGTGAGTAATATTGGACTATACGTCCCGTTATATTGGGGCTATACGAAGACCTGGACCTGCACAGACAATTTTCTGTCATAGGCTGTAGTATCGACTACGAACTTCAAATACCAAATTTGAAACAATTCCGGTGAATAATGTCGCTAAAATCAACAAAGTATCGAATATCGGTAGGTCCCGTTATATGGGGGCTAAACGAAGATATGGACCTGCACAGACAATTTTCTGTCTTAGGTTGTAGTATTCATTACGAATTTCAAATACAAGATTTGAAACAATTCCGGTGAATAAAGTCACTAAAATCATCAAAATACCGAACATCGAGATGTACCGTTAAATGGGGAAAATACGAAAACGTTGACCTGCACAGACAATTTTCTGTCATAGGCTGTATAATCCATTACGAACTTCAAATACCAAATTTGAAAGAATTCGGGTGAATAATTCGCTAAAATGAACAAAGTATCGTATATCGGTAGGTACGGTTATATGGGAGCTTAACGAAGACGTGGACCTGCACAGACAATTTTCTGTCTTAGGCTGTAGTATCCATTACGAACTTCAAGCACCAAATTTGAAACGATTCCGGTGAATAATGTCGCTAAAATCAACAAAATACCGAATATCGGGAGGTAGCGTTATATGGGGGCTATACGAAGACGTGAACCCACATGGCTCATTTTCTGTCTTAGGCTGTAGTATCCACTACGAACTTCAAATTCCAAATTTAAAACAATTCCGGTGAATAATGTCGCTAAAATCATCAAAATACCGAATATGGGGAGGTTCCGTTTTTTGGGTGCTATACGAAGGCCTGGACCTGTACAGACAATTTTCTCTCTTAGGCTGTAGTATCCAATACGAACTTCAAGTACCAAATTTGAAACAATTCCGGTGAATAATGTCGCTAAAATCATCAAAATACCGAATATTGGGAGGTACCGTTATATGGTGGGCTATACGAAGATGTAGACCTGCACATTCGAATCCATTACGAACTTCAAATACCAAGTTTAATTGAATGAAATCAAAAAATGACGGATCAAATCTTAGAATAAGTTTGGATTTCTTTGAATTGGTCACCTTTGGCACGAATTATGGCCTTCAAACGGCCAATGAAACCGTCACACACTGCCCGAATGTTGCTCTGCGGTATTTTGGCCCAATCCCGGTGAAGCTTGAGGTGATCGACACTTTGGTATTTTTTTAGTGCCACCCTTCCTTCCCAAAATACTCCAGACACAATAGTCCAACGTATCCGGTATCCGGAGATTTTGGTGGCCATTGTGCACTGGATATGAATCTCATAACCATTCTTGGGTGTCATGGTGCTGAGTCCTGTTGGAATGTCCAAATGTTTGCGCGCCCGAGGCTTTAATACACCCTCCAGAATATTTTCGCGATAATATTTGGCATTTATTCTGATGCCACGGTCGTTTAATACGAGCGGAGAGCAACCATCGGCTTTTATGGCGGCCCACACCATCATCATGGCCGGCGCTTGAGTTCTGCTGGCCAACCGAAGGTTCACATTTTCAGCTGACCTTTTTGGCAAGTAAACACGATCATTTTGTGCCCAAGGCTTTAATACACCCTCCAGAATATTTTCGTGATAATATTCGACATTTATTCTGATGTCACGGTCGATTAATACGAGCGGGAGCGACCATCGGCTGTTATGGCGGCGCACACCATCTGGTGGCCAACCGAAGGTGCACATTTTCAGCTGACCTCTTTGGCAGTAACCACGATCATTTTTTTGTTTACAAACTGCTGGACAATGAATGTTTTCTCATCGGAGAAAACCAAATTCAGCGGTTCACCACTTTTGGCCAAGCGAAGCAACTCTTTAGCCCTTATGAGTCTATTTTCTTTCTGTTGCGGTGAAAGTTCTTGCACTTTTTGGAATTTCAATGGCTTTACCCCGAGCTCCCCCGATTTTTCAATATTTGCCAAATGGAATATTGCGATATGTTCAGCTCACCAGCCATTTTTCGGCCACTGTGAAGCGGAATTCGATCAAGTCGCTTCTTTAATTTTCGAACCATTTCTGCTGATGTTGCTGTCCGTCCGTCTGTCTTGCTGGTGGCGAAATTTTCGCAAAAATATTTTATTGCACAGAAAGAAAAAAGACAATCCGATTTTCTACAACTTTGCAAATCCCAATATTTGTACCAGTACATGGCAGCAGTCTGAAGTTGATTGCAGTTTTTTCATCTCAACCTGTAAACGTGGATTTTTAAAATAATTTTTTAAGACCATAAACTTGAGTTAGTCAAAAGAAATGTTTAAAGCCATAAACGTGGACTATTTGAAATAATTTCAAGGACTATCTCAACAATAAGCGTGGATATTAAAAACAATTTTGTGATGGGCTATCTCAAACATAAACTTTGATTTATTAAAAGTGGTTTTCCAGCCAAATATAAAGAAATCACCCTATCCCGCTTGAATTCCATCACGAATAACATTTTTCTGGAAAATTCTCTCAAAAAATGCATTTGTACGCTTGTAAACAATATAATGAGCTGTCTCTGGAATAATTTTAACAGCTGTCGGACAATTGGCTTAGAAATGACAACAGTCTGAATTTGGCTGCAATTTTTTCATCTCACCCTGTATATCCTCTGTAGCCATATGGCTGAGGGTATAAAAATCCTTAAACCATATAATGGTAGACCAAATTTCACAAAGAATCGAAATTAATAGTTCTCTTGGCCCTTAAAGCTATTCTTTTAAATGATCTAGATTTGTGGTTTTCATTGTTCTTGAAAAATTCTTTTCAAAAATCATCGACCGTGCCTATGTTTGAAGTTTTTCTAAAAAATTAATAATTTCTGGTCTATTGTTCCTTTTTACAAAAAATCAATGCTAATAATGATGGTACTTTTGGCTCTTAAAAAATATTTTTAAAAATTCGAATTTATAGCTGTGATGATCGCTGGAAAACATTTTTAAGAAATTATGAATTATATCTCTTTTATTCTTTCCTTTTAGATCTTCAAGTTGGTGACTCTGCCTGGAATTGATTTTTTATTTTGTTATTTTTTTATTTAATTTTTTTATTTTATTTATATAATTTTTTTATTTTATTTATTTTTTTTTTTCTTTTCTTTTAAAAATCTTGGGGAAAATTCTAGTTTAGGCTTCCGGTGGCACTTAAAAAAATTCTATCGAAATCTGCAATACTCTCTGAGTCCCCAAATGATTCAATGAAAAACCCTCTTAATATCTTAATTATGACTCTTTTGATCCTCGAAAAAAAAAAAAAAAAAGAATATATATATATATATATATATATATATATATATATATATATATATATATTTTTTATTTTTTTTTTTTTTGGCGACAATATATATATATATATATATATATATATATATATATATATATATATATATATATATATATATATATATATATATATACATATATATATATATATATATATATATATATATATATATATATATATATATATATATATATATATATATATATATATATATATATAATCACAATTTTCAGACTTACCTCGTACTTGCAGTTAATTGTCTATCCGTTTTCTTTATTATTGATATCGTCTGTCTGTGTCCTGTTCGTTCAACAGCAGCTGTTCCTTGACAATAATGTTCAAAATCAAGTGTTAAAGGTTTTCTAGATTTTCGTGGAAATTCGCTGATTATTGAGTTGGACAACGAAGCATTTGGTATGTTATGGGAATACAATGCGTTATATTTGGTTTGGTTCATCAACAGGATAATACTATTTGGGGAACTGAAAGAAACGGAAAAGAGAAAATAATTCAATATTGTTACCAAAATTATTCAAATGTTTTAAGAACTTTTTTATGTTATTGATATACAAAAGGAAATTATAAATTAAAATTACACAAATCGCCTTTTGAAAAATAATTTAATAAAATTAATTGCTGTTTTTAGTTTGTGATTTAGAAAGGAAATGTTAGATTATAACACTTTTTTAATTTTTCTCAATAATAACGGGACAATCCAACAGATGATGAAAACAGAGCTGAAAAGAGAAGGCCCGTGTATCGGTATTTTAGAAGTTTACCACCTACCGATACCAGCTCCTTCTTTCCACCTCATATACAATTAGTGAACTCTTTGACAAATTTCAAAATTCCATCTCTATCGGTCAAAATTTAGATATAGCTCCCATATATATGTTCGTCCGATTTGCCTTTTATTGTGCACCAAACGTGTAATATCAGGCCGAATGGTATGAAATTTTGCACATACAACCAGATTAGGCCTGAAAATAAATAGGCCAAATTTTAACGAAATCGGTTCAGATATAGCCGTAGCTCCAATATATAATGTTCATTCGATTTGTTATTTTTGTCCTCCGCAGACGTAATATGCAGTCTGTAACAACAATATTTGGGGAAATATATCAAATGTAACTCAGAAATACCTTTGCAAAATTTTATCGAGATTGGTTCAGATTTGGATATAGCTCCCATATATAACTTCGTCCGATTTATCTTTGATTGTGCACCAAACGTCTAATATTTGCCCAAATGGGATGAAATTTGGCACTTACGGCCGAATTGAGTGTAGAAGGTAGTATGCCAAATTTGGTGAAGATCGGTATATATATTGTTCATCCGATTTGTTGTATTTGTTACCCACAACCGTAATATGCACTCCATAACAACGATATTCAGGCAAATATATCAAATACAGCTCAGAAATATCTTTGCCAAATTTTATCGAGATCGGTTCAGATTTGGATATAGCTCCCATATATATCTTTATCCGATTTCAAGTTAATTGTGCACCAAATGGGTTATGCAAGTCCGCAATTAAAAGATACAAATGTTTCGGCATATTCAGTCCTTTGAACTTTAAATTATATTCATAGCGTGTATAAACTTTTAATTGTTATGCGGAGCCCTACTAAATTAGCAAGGTGGTGTAGGGTATCATAAAGTCGGCCCCGCCCGACTTCAAGACTTTCTTTACTGGTTTTAATTTAATATTTAAAAATTTTATTTATATTTTTGCAAACATTTGTACGAATAAAAAGTTCGACAGCGCCATCTCTATTAAATATCGCACACTTTATCTATGAATTCATCTGAATTTTATAATTATCCAAGACGTGATTTTAATATACCCTTCACTATAGTATGGAGGGTATATTATGTTTGTCATTCCGTTCGTAACACCCCGAAATATACATTTAGACCCCCAAAGTATATATATTCTTGATCAGCATAAAATTCTATGTCGATTTAGCGATGTCCGTCCATCTATCTGTCTGTCTTTCTGTGGAAATCACTCTAGCTTCCAAACGAAATGAAGTAGGTTGATAAAACTTTACTCAAATGTGTACTATGTCTGCAGGACTTTTGGTATTCACATCCACGTTTTGGTATAGCACCCATATGACGGTACCTCCCTCCCAGAAATGTTTCAAATTTGGTATTTGAAGTTCGTAATGAATACTGCAGCCTAAGACAGAAAATTGTCTGAGCACGTCTTCGTATAGCCCCCATTACCATTATTTGCCGGAATTGTTTCAAATTTGGTATTTGAAGTTCGTAATGGATACTACAGCCTATGACAGAAAATTGTCTGAGCTGGTCCACGTCTTCCTATAGCCCCCATATAATGTTACCTGCCGATATTCGTATTTTGAAAGTTTTAGCGACATTATCGTTTCGAATTTAATATTTCAAGTTCGTAATGGATACTTTAGCCTATGACATAATATTGTCAGTGTAGGTCCACGTTTTGGTATAGCCCCCATATATCAGTATCTCCCTATATTCGGTATTTTGATGATTTTAGCTACATTATTCACCGATTTTTTTCAAGTTTTGCATTTGAATATAGTAATGGCTTATGACAAAAGTTGCCTATGCAGGTTCACGTCGTCGTGTAGACCCTAATATAATTTTTCGGAATTTTTAAGATTTTAACAGAATTTTTAACGGATTTTATTTTTTTGTTTTTGAAAATTGTTAAATTCGTTCCAAGTGGTGGAGGCTATTCAAAGTTTGGCCCGGCCAAACTTACAGCTTTTTTACTTGTTTAATTTGTAGTTTTTTTAGGTTATGTTAATATAAAGTATTGGAAATGCAGGTATATTAAATATTTGTACAAAAATTCAGATTCGGGGAAATTTTTGGTATTTTTTCGTAAATTTGTATTTTTTCACAAATTATAAAGATTCAAAGATTCATTTTTAAAAATAGCATTTTTCACAAATGTTTTTTTTTAGTAAAATATGTCTTATTTTTGTTTACTAGCACTAAGTGGAAACTGAATGTCTTGATACCGAGACTCAAAAGATTTACAAATAAAATTATAATAAATTCTTGTCATTCGTTGAATTTTATCAAAAAAGGTAAATAAATAAATAAAATAATAATAATAATAATAATAATAATAATAATAATAATAATAATAATAATAATAATAATAATAATAATAATAATAATAATAATAATAATAATAATAATAATAATAATAATAATAATAATAATAATAATAATAATAATAATAATAATAATAATAATAATAATAATAATAATAATAATAATAATAATAATAATAATAATAATAATAATAATAATAATAATAATAATAATAATAATAATAATAATAACAACAATAATAATAATAATAATAATAATAATAATAACAACAACAATAATAATAATAATAATAATAATAATAACAAAAATAATAATAATAATAATAATAATAATAATAATAATAATAATAATAATAATAATAATAATAATTTTAATAATTTTAATAATTTTAATTTTTAATTAATTTTAAATTGATTAAATTTTTTAATTAGTGTTTGTCTTTTATATTTAATATTACTCCTTCATCGGAAAGTATTTATTTCAAACTTTCTACTTTCTAACTAAAAAAAAGTTGAACAGCGCCATCTCTATTTGAAGTCACACACTGTATCAGGGAGTGCACTTCAGTGCACTGCATTTCAAATTTCAACGGTCATACGAATTTCCAATGCAACTCTGTCAGACTGTGGCAGTACAAAATATTAACGCTTGGTGGTGTTGTGGTGCAATGAAAATTGGCGCAAAATGATAGTTTTCTTTTTATTCCCGAACAGCAACACAGCAAAAAAATGAAATGAAACGAGGGGCAGAAGACTGCATTCGAATGCCTGCACACACGCACGCACCCTGCCAACTACAGTGTGTGCTTGCAACTCTACCCCGGTCATGCAATGCACAAGTGACACCATTGAATTACTGGGAGAGTGAGAGAGAGAAAGCGGAATGTTTTGATATTTGGAACATATACAAACATGTGGACGTTCAAACTGAATCATTGGAATGATATGAAATGAAATTGAATGCGGAAGTGTATGGCTGGCTGTTTGGTGTGTAAAAGATGGCTGGCATGGAAATTCTTACGCGAAAGCATGACTAACAGCCATAGCCACTCCACGCGCACACACACACACTCCCATGCCCTGGCAATGTTGCAAACCAGACAGTCATTCACACAGCATTGTTTTGCCGCCATCATTAAACAATGCACTCACTCACTCACCAACCAAACGCAACTCACACAATCTACATACACACACAAACACACACCTTTAGATGTGGGCTTTCTTCTGTGGGTTGTTGACAGGCCGGTTGTTGCACCATGAAAGCAAAACACCAGTCACAGCCAAACATCGCAAAGCGGAAATTATTGTGGCTGAATAAAAAGAAAAACAAATTCACTTTCGTTTGGAACACTCAATCTCTTCAGTCACACAAAGAGCAAGAGAGATATGGGAGTTAAGCAATATATGTTCTCTTTTTAAGAGAAGAGAAATTGTTAGTTTCGTTTATACCAAAGAGTAAAAGAGTTGTGAAATGCATTATTTTTTCACATTGCTCTGCCTATGCTTTGTTTTTCTTTAGAGGTCGTTGCTGTTTGATTTTGTTTTGCAATTGTCTCTTCCTTGTTAGTCGGCTGGCAGCGGGTATTGTTTATGGTTGGTGTTGTTGCTACTGTTGTTGATGGTGTGCATGTGTTGGGAGTGCACATTGTGTTGTGAGTTTTTCTGTGCCAAACCGTTTCATTAACCCCATCATTGACTTGAACAGAATGAACTCAGAATGACGACACTCGAAAGGTCATTCAAGTGTGTGGTTTGCTGCGACATGCTTCCTCCACACCACATCCCTTAGGCATACAATGGAAATGTTGGCCGTTTGAGTAAATGGATTTAAACAAGGGGGACATTTTTATGAAATTACTTTAAATTTTGGGTATTATTTGAAGAACATATTAAAAGTCTGGGGGAAAAACTAACTAATTTCGGAACCTAATAATTATTTGCAAAATACCTTAGAAAGTAAAGCATACTTTTAGGCGTTTATAACAGATTTAAATTAACCTTAAGTCAGCTTGCAGATGCCTAAAAACATAATAAAAATGGTATTTTTCCCCTCCTGATTTTTTTATACCCTCAATATAACGGCTATACACGAAGGCGTGGACCTGCATAGGCAACTTTTGTCATAAGCCATTAAAATATTCAAATACGAAACTTGAAAAAAATCCGGTGAAAAGTGTAGGTAAAATCATAAAAATACCGAATATGGGGAGGAACCGTTATATCGGGGCTACACAAAGACCTGGACCTGCATAGACAATTTTCTGTCACAGGCTGTAGTACCTATTAGGATGTTCAAATACGAAATTTCAAACAATTTCGGTGAATATTCCACCTGAGATAGTCAAAATGGTAGATACTGATATATG